TTAATCTTTTCATGAAATTATTAATTCAATTCAATTCGATATAGACGTAGATATAGCCTAATCACTATTGTGTATTTTCACCTGTTAATTACTGACGTGATCTTGTTGATACAGGGGGATATGCCGGGCCTCCATCGAGGATCATCAAGGGTCAGCATGTCACTAAGGGAGAGCTTCCCTATCACGTGCAGCTGCGAAAATCCGATGCTTATTTATGCGGAGGAAGCATCCTCGATGCCACCCACATCCTGACTGCAGCGCACTGTGTAGTCTCTGATACTGAAGGAGTCAATAAACCTGAGGAAATTGAAGTAATCGTGGGCTCTCTCTTCATTGATTCAAGAACCATCCAAAATGAAAATGCCTTCGCTGTTTCCGAAATCACTTATCATCAGGACTATAATCCCGCGACTGTTCGGAATGTCCACCATTTAGCTGACATCGCTGTTCTGAAGGTGAAGACTGTCAGGATTTAATTTGATCAATTGTTGTATGACTGATGTTAATTATTCTTGAGATTATACTTTACAGTTGGAGAAACCTATTTCCTTCAATCGTTATCGCGCCCCGATTAATCTACCAAGGAAAGAACCACCTTCTGGTGCATCAGTTGTCGCCAGCGGATGGGGAGTCACCTATCATGATGGCAAGAACAGCAGAAGTCCAAACTGGTTACAGAAATTGAAGATGAAGATTGTCAGCCTGGATGACTGTAAAGCAGCTTATCCTGGTGGCGCGAGTGAAGGACATATTTGTGCTTTAGGAGCTCCAGGATCCGCTGTTTGTTTTGTGAGTCCTTCAACTTTCACATTTTTACTACTTCCAGTCTTTCTACTAGATCATGTTAATCCAAGTTATTTCTTTGGTTCGTTATGATCTTTCTTTTTTTAGGGCGATAGTGGCGGTCCGTTGGCTTACAACAACGAAGTCATTGGTGTTGTTTCTTGGGGCAGTGGATGCATCCAAAGAAGTCCAGACGTATTCACAAGTGTGGTATATTATAGTGACTGGATTAAATGGGCCATGAAATATCACTGAATATAACAATTTTTAAAACATCCATTGGTTTTTTATTTTATTGAATCTCTTCAAAACCCCAGAGGGTATCATCTGAAGCTTGCAGAAATGAAGCTTTAGATGGAAAGGGTTGGGATCTGAAGTCCGCATGTACTATCTATCGAACGTGAACTTCAAAGTATTTAAAAGTCTTTGAAAACGAAAATAAAACCGCAGTCGTTTTCTTCTGAAAATCAAAACGTTGATAGAGATATATTTTTGATTTATGAAAAATTATGGTTTTTATGAGTGCTGTGTTGGTAAATCGAGTGAATAAAATGTTTCAATTTACCAAAACGTGGATTTAGTCATGGAATGTGGCGACCTATATTCAAGGTTTCCATATACAGCAAAGTCAGCATCGCAACGACGCCGATCTGACGACAATCACTCGTTAATTTAACACAAAAATCAGTCTCTTCATACCGATTGAAAGTGTCGCACAAAAGGGTGAACACAAATTCTCTTGCGGTCGACCCAAAATCACTTTATATTGCCGCCTATCACCCTTTACACAAGATCTTAATCTCTCGAGCATCTGAAAAAAAAAACAGAATATTTCAGTGAATTAAACACTATGAATTAGAATGGGCTTAATTAATGTGATGCGTTGATGAAGCATATCTCATAAATTAATCGATTAAACTTCTGTTCCGAATGAATAAAAAAAGAAAAAAGTGTTTTACTGTCACATAAATTGCTGACCAATTGTATTCGACAGGAGGAATTGTCAGTTTCTAGGAAATGAAAACATTTTAATGCGCGGAGTGTCATTGCAGTTGTGAATTGATGAGCTTAATGGATAATTGAAGTTAAAAATGAAAACAGTAGCAAGGTGTATATAAGACTAGATGATGGCTGATGCAACTATCATAACTTTTGGGTCTGAAGACTTCAAGTCGCATCGGAGCCGAAAATGTTATCCCAGAATGTTCAATTGCTGATATTATCTTTGGCTACTTGTGTTTTCGGTAAGCTAACAAAACACGGATTTTTTTTATTATAATAATAAAGAAATGAGATAAGACCAACGCAGATTACGTGTCTTTTCCGTAATTCCGTAGCGAAATGTGATTGTAGAAAATTTAACGGAACTGTCGCGTAATTTTTATCGAAAGCCACGGAATTTTTCTGTGACATTCCGTTATTTTTTATAAATAATTATCAGCGTGTACGTAATTGTCATCAGTGGGGCACGCAAAGCCTCCGAGCAAAATCGTCAATGGACAAAATGCGTTGACGGGAGAGTTTCCGCATCAGGTGTCTCTTCAAACCAGGAAGCGACACATCTGTGGAGGAAGCATCATCGATGCTACGCACATCTTGACTGCTGCTCATTGTGTTCTGAATGATAATGGCAGTGTGACACAGGGAATTGATGTGGTTACAGGAACTCTTGATTCATTGAACCGAACTGTTGATAATGTCTTCATGGTTTCACGGATTAGTTATCACACGAGATATTCCCCGAAAGACAACTGGAGAAATGATATTGCAATTATAACGGTAAATACCCAAAAGTTCTGGATACATTCAATTTTTTAAATTAATTTCTTTAATATTATTTGAAGCTTTTAAAAATCGTTCAGATTATATTGCTGTGGTACATGAAAAAGAGAATAATTTATTAATTTCTTTTTAAACGTTGATTGAATTAATTGCCGACGCATTTTTTGCTGAAGCCATCACGAAAGATCAATCGATTTGGTGGATTTCCAGTTACGGAAGCCAATTCCTTATAACGAGTATCAAAGACCCATCAATCTACCAACGAGCAATGTACCTCCTGGTGCGCGTGTTGTGGCAAGTGGTTGGGGTGCGGAGGTATACTTGGGTGACAAAACCAGGGGTGTTCGATACCTCCAAAAGCTACCGATGAGTGTTCTTGGTGTTCATCAATGCCAGAAAATTTTGGGGACTAGGATTCAGTATCAACAGATCTGCGTTGCGAGTGCTGCAACAACTGGGGTTTGTCTTGTAAGTATTTGATTTCATTATATTTATTTTTGAGGACGAGAGCCAAATCGGAGTAAGGATCTGCATCAGGACATCAGGCAGTGGAAGGATATAGCCTCCCGGGCAAAAAAACAACAACAAATTTTCAAAAAAATTTTAGACAACTTTTCAGATTTTTCTTTTTTTGAAACAAAAAAAATCTGGAAGCAAAGAAATCGTATTTTTGGAAAATCTTTTGAGAAATCTTTGGAAAATTTGTTACAGAAATTTTTTTTTCTCTCACGTTTTTCATTTTTCAATATTCTCCAAAAAAAAAACGCCATCTAAATAATAAAAAAAATTTTGGTATTCAACTTTATGAAAAAATTTTCAAAATATTTCCCAAAAATAAAATTGTTTTGTCTTCCATTTTTTTTTCGGTTTCACAAAAAAAAAAAAAAATATTCGGCAAAGTTCCAGAAATTTTTTGAAAATTTCGAAAAAATATTCCGATTACATTTTTTACCCGGGCTTGTCAGAATTTTCCCGGATCCGGAATTTCTGAAAAAATGAAAGAATTGAGTCATTACATTTTATTTACCCCCACCAATTACAGGGTGATAGCGGCGGCCCATTGACCTATGGGGACACAATCGTTGGAATAGCTTCCTGGGTTATTCCCTGCGGCACTGGATATCCAGACGTCTACACTCGTGTCTACGAATACCTTTCATGGATCCAACGAGTCCTCCAGGAGAAGTAATTATAACATTAACCTTGGATTTCAAATGTACCCCGTATTTTCAATTATGACCTAAGGAATATACTCCCACCAGTGATTTACATGCCTCCAGTGATATTTTTTAATTTTTATCCTCAAATTTTCCGATCGTTCATATCCATCACCTCTAATGAGTCATACGCTTTTTATTCCCGAAAACATATTTCTGGTTTGAGAGCTGAAAAGGATGTCTGTACAATAATTTTCATCGAACGTCGCAAATCATTTACCAATGAATACTCGACGTTTTAAAAATGGGATAAAATATCGTGCGGGATATTTCTCGCATTTTCGTATCACACTGACATAATTCCAATGAAAAATGAACAGTTCATTCATCATAGTAAATTTACGGGGTTGATCAACATAATTTCTGGAAATTTTTGGGAAGTACTTGAAATTGCAAAATTTTTGGCCATTGAAAATTGAATATCCCTTAAAATAATTCATAGAAACTCTAGATTTCTATTCAATTTTTTAATACCAATGAAGAAGAGTCACGCCATTTCAGCCCTGACTTATCAATTGATTAATCATTAAATGCAATTTGTCATGTTGAAAGTTCTGGATTTTTTTCGCGAGAAATACCTAATAAATAAAGAAATAATTAAATATTCACGAAATTTCAATTCTCCTTCTAATAGTGTATTCCATTTAGATCATTGGCATCTGAATACACAGGATAGAACGATCAATCATTTCAAGTTTTTATTCACAAAAATATCAATTTGAATAACGACACATGTAATATTTCTGCATATCAGTTCGACCTGAATATAAATTCGATCGATTGAGACTCCGAAATATCAGTTAGTTCTTCAACATGTTGGTATCTGTGCTTTTTCTCTTCGGCGTTGCCATTGAAGGTACCTCCGCAGTTCCTAAAAAACATAAACAACCCCCAAAGTATTATTATTATTGATCTCGATTTATTTAAAAAATCTTGATTAATCGTGGATGTATTCGTACTTTTACAATAAATTATACTCACTCAGTTTTCTGCTTGAACGTAAATTCAATTCAATCTTATTTACATCAAGTAGAGATTCCGAATTGAATGAAGAATTTGTTTCCATGAAGAGCGTATTTGTAGTTTAGTGAATTTCTAGGTGCTTACGGCAAGGCGCCTAGCAAAATCATCAAGGGTGGTGAGGCAACACAGGGCGAATTTCCTTATCAAGTTTCCCTGAAAAATGTTGATAAACACATATGTGGTGGCGCAATAATCAGCAATCGTCATATCCTCACAGCAGCTCATTGCATCGCGGCTGAACACCGATTCTCTGATATGATTGTGGTAACTGGAACCAATTCCTTGGAACTTGGAGCTGGAGGCCAATTCCATCGCGTCCAAAATTTTGTTATTCATCCAGAATTCGTGCAGCAGAGCCAAACGAATGCTGGAGAGCACGACATCGCTGTCATCTCGGTAAAATACTGTAATATACATGAACAAAATCATCATTTAATCTTTTTTTTTTATTCAAATCCGAAATTAAGGAGCCAATAGCGTCTCGTCTTGATTAAGGATGCAGAAACCTAAATATAATTATCACAGAGTTATGAATTATATTATCTCTCCGGAAATGATTCATTCACATTATCACACAATTATCCTTTTTTTCTTTTTTTTTTGCTGAAGAACTGTAATTTTTTCTTTGTGATCATTAACCGTGATTTTATCATCAGCTGAGGAATGAAATCGTGGAGAACGATTTGCAGAGGAGAATTGCTCTCCCAACCAAAGATATTTCCCATGGAGTGACAGCTATCGTGTCAGGATTTGGCCGGACTGGACCAAACGAAAAATTATCGAAGGTCCTAAAGAAAGCACTAATCCTTCTTCTGAGTGCACAAGAGTGTCTTGAGAAAGGTACTCGCAAGTTGCGGACAAATATTTGCGGATTCAGTCCCTCCAGCGGCGGCACTTGCAAAGTATGTACAAAAAAAATTGACACTAATTATGCCTTCATTCATCATGTTTATAGACCTGTTGATTTGATTCCTGCTAAAAGATAGGGTATAAATGATAGGGTATCAATTAAAATTCATTCACGATTTTTTTCATTTTTCCGTTTTTTTTTTTTCAAAATCAATTTTTTTTTCAATTCGCGGATTTCCATTTTCCTTTCATTCTCCTGAAAGTCAGCTGCTTGATTTTCTATCTATTTTAGTTTTCTGTATTGATTATCAATTTATTATTTAAATGATCGGAAAAATGATCAACATTTGAAGTTCATAATCGCAAAAAGTGTGAGACTTGTTGAAAAATCCATTTTCTATTCGTCTTTTTTGTGGTTCTTTTAGGGAGACAGTGGTGGTCCTCTGGTATATAATAACGAAATCATTGGAGTTTCGGCAACTGCAGGACCATGTGGATTTCCCGAAGTGTATACAAAAGTTTACAGTCATCTCGATTTCATCCATTCTGCCATGAGTACGATTTAAAATTCTCAGTTCGAAGACAATAAGGAGTACGACGCGCATTATGATTCAATTCGTCAGCCACAATACTTTCCTTCAGTACTTATGACATAAACGACTATTAATGTTCGGGAATTTTCCAATAACCTCTATTGCCATTCCGCCAACGTGATCTATCTGTACGACGCATCGTTAGTGGAACGTGGAAGTGACAATAGTGGACAGCACACACGCGGGGGAATCCCAAATAATCTTGACAGTTATAGATTGTTTACTCTTCGGTGGGGGCGATAACGTTTCATATATGGGACAACATCATTAATTTTAATTTGGGTAATTTAAGTTTGGCACTTGGTAATAAATGAGTCAAGGTAATCATATCGATACTGTTAGAAATTTATTGAAATTTCATCGCGATGTTATTTAAATGTTTAATAATACGAATTTGAATTAAATTTCTATTGATTTCTGGGAAACCCCTAAGTATAAAATTCATTCTTTCTCTCTTAGTTTTTATATTTCCGTCTCTGGGAAGATGGTTTATGGTTTTATTCTCACATCTCTTCTATTTGACCCTTTCAGTGATTGCGTATCACTTCCTGTCGATCTACTCCTTCTCTACTTGCAAAAACCAGAAAGACCAGGCATTTCCGCTCAATATTTGTCTTCCTAGTGTTTATCACTCCGGTATTTGCGCTATGTAACTTTACATTATGTTTCATCACTCTTCCTGTTATGACTTCTCAGTCGACCATTTGCTTTTCGCTTTAAGGCGAGAGCGAAGGCCTATTTATGATGGATGACACAATCTCAAGGAATTTCAGAGCATGAAAATCGAGGAGGCAGTCATTGAAATTGAAAAATTTTAAATTTTCAAAAAAGTATCAGGGGAGCATGAAAATCTAGGAGGTATTCGCTGAAATTTGAAAAATTAAAAATTTTCAAAAAAGTTTCAGGAGAGCATGCAAATCGAGGAGGTATTCACTGAAATTGGAAAATTATAAATTTTCAAAAAAGTATTAGGGGAGCATGCAAATCGAGGAGGTATTCACTGAAATTGAAAAATTATAAATTTTCAAAAAAGTATTAGGGGAGCATGAAAAACGAGGAGGTATTCACTGAAATTTGAAATTTTTCGAAAAGTATCCGGGGAGCATGAAAATCAAGGAGGTATTCATTGAAATTGAAAAATTAAAAATTTTCAAAAAAGTATCAGGGAAGCATGCAAATCGAGGAGGTATTCACTGAAATTAAAAAATTATAAATTTTCAAAAAAGTATCTGGGGAGCATGAAAATCAAGGAGGTATTCATTGAAATTGAAAAATTAAAAATTTTCAAAAAAATATCAGGGGAGCATGCAAATCGAGGAGGTATTCACTGAAATTGAAAAATTAAAAATTTTCAAAAAAGTATCAGGGGAGCATGAAAAACGAGGAGGTATTCACTGAAATTTGAAATTTTTCGGAAAGTATTAGGGGAGCATAAAAATCACGGAAGTATTCATTGAAATTGAAAAATTTTAAATTTTCAGAAAATAAAACTCACCGAATCGACGGTTCCCTCTGACAGCGGGACTGCTACTGAGGCAGTTACAGAGTCGGCAGACGGGTAGACACCCCACCATTGGGTGCAGCCCCCACTTTCTCTTGGGGTGTGGTACTCCCCCATAACTGAGCCGCTCATTGGGGGTTTGAGTGACCCCCCCGTCATAGAGTCGGCAGATGGGTAGACACCCCACCTCACCCCAAGAGAAAGAGGGGGATGCACCCAATGGTGGGGTGTCTACCCGTCTGCCGACTCGGTAAATGCCTCAGTCGCAGTCCCGCTGTCAAAGGGACCAGTCGACTGGATGAATTTTATTTTCAGAAAATTAAAAATTTTTCGATTTCAGTGAATACCTCCTTGATTTCCATGCTCCCCTGATACTTTTATAAAAATTTTGAATTTTCAAATTTCAATGAATACCTTCCCGATTTTAAAGCTCCTCTGATACTTTTTCAAAAAATTTTAAATTTCAAATTTTGGTGAATATCTCCTCGATTTTCATGATCCCTTGATACTTTTTCAAAAATTTTACATTTTCAAATTTTGGTGAATACCTCCTCGGTTTTCATGATCCCCTGATACTTTTTCAAAAATTTCGAATTTTCAAATTTCAGTGAATACCTCCTCGATTTTCATGCTCCCCTGATACTTTTCGAAAAATTTCGAAATTTCAAATTTCAGTGAATACCTCCTCGATTTCCATGCTCCCCTGATACTTTTCGAAAAATTTTTCATTTTTTAATTTCAATGACTATCAATTTCGTAACACATAAAATAAAATTCACCCAGTTGACTGGTCCCCCTGACACCGGGACTGCTCCTGAGGCAGTTACCCTTTACCAGTTCCTGGGGTCACTCAAACCCCCAGAACTCAGCCTCTACTTCAGTGGAAGAAACCTGGAATTCTACCTAGGCTACTCTATTTATTTTCTCTGGTGACAAATCATGGACCATGAGGATGTTTGATGCTGAGTGGTGAATGATTCCAGGTAAGATGAACAACTTTATTCCCGCATTTCAATCCTTCACGATGATTGATAACAAAGGAAATGAAAATTTATCTCTGCGTTGAGTACTATAATTATTTATCGCGTAATGAAGAAATCTTTGGGTGGTTTACTTCGTTTACTTTTTCGTCTCTCTCCTTTTTGTTTGCTGTATATATTTTTATAATATCATTTTGAAATAATAGTTCAGCCGGCACTTTTATCACTCGACTCCAGGTCGCTCGCTCACTCTGTACCCACGTGCGTTCATTAGAACCGGAATTTCTTGTAATTACTGTTCTTGGGAATCAATGGAGGAGCGTACACTGTTGAGAATAATTGAGTCCGATGATTGTTTTCTGGAGTGTCATTTTCTTCGATCGGGGCGAGAGGAATCGGTAGAAAAAATTGCAATCAATAGAATTTCATCAATTAAATTTTTTTTATGGAGAGAAATGATTGATTTTCTATTACTCAACTCGAGAATATATTTCAATAAATTTTTTAATATCCTTTAATAAATTAAAATCAAAGGAATTCCTTCAAGATTATTTGAAAATTACTGAAATTCTAGAAATAACATGAATTTTTAATGAATGAAGGATTTTTTCTAAAAAATCTCTCAAATATCAACTAATCATAAATATTATAATCTCATGAATATTTAATTGAAAAATACTTGAGAGAAAACTGATGATCAATTTTTGTAACGAAAGATCAATTAATTATCGATCGATCGATATCGATATATCTAGTTTATTAATTCGATATCTCAGGTTGAGTGAGACAGAAATGAATCTCAGGTTAGTGTGTCCTAAATCACTCGAGCTCACGATTACCGTACCTATGTAATTACCCCAGTGAATTATCATTACTCATCATTGAAGTGTACGTGAGCCGTCTGGAAAGCTTGTGAAAAGGCACCAGTGTGTTGGTGGTGGTGTTGAATGTCATTGACCTTCTTCACTTTCATTCATACCGATTGTAAAAAATAACTCAAAAAATTATTTCATCAATTCAAGCGTTATGCTGAGGTCTCGGACTCCACCGAACCTTGGACATTTTCTCATGCCCCGCGAATTAGCGGGTTGGAAAAAAATATATATTAACCACACAGTGAGTTTTCTATTCTCGTTATCCAATTCACCTCTGGAAAATTGATACTCTTCGAAATAGTGAAATACGAGCTGGTGAGATTTGATTTATTGGCGCCTGGTTTGGCTCATCCTCATGATCGCACGGGCTTGGGATTATGAACCGATCGAAATCTTCGGCAATCGATCAATAATGAATCTGATGCATTAGCGATATCCGGTTTTTCGTTGCTCCTTTCAATAAAAAACGTTACAACCTTTCTCGAATCATTTTATGCATTTTTATTTACTTGGTTAAATAATTTAAAAATTCATTTTTGTGTTGGAAATAATTGCTGGAAGGCTGTTATTTTTTCGGTGGATAGTCCACGTCATTTATTTATTTTAATGAAAGCGGAATTTTCCGAGTTTTTTTAACCGACAATTGAAATATTTTAGGAGTATTCAACGAAGATTGATTAATTTTTTCTAATTAATGTAAAATTTTGAGTTGCCATTGATTTTTTTGGTAAAAATTCAAATAGTCGATGATGAAATTTGTGACATTAGGAAAAAGTCTCGGTAAGGGCAGTTTTCCGGAAGCCATAGGCTTTTTTTTATTATCAAAATCTGTGAGATAATAAAAAAATGTTGAAATCCGGTGTGAATTAAACTCTGGAGTGATTGCCCTTCGCGAAATGATAAGAAAAATATGCGGAGAAATCGGGTGACTTTCCTCCTCGTCCCAAGGCTATCCGAAGAATTTAATAATTTTTTTTTTTCCTCCCCAGAAGCTATCTCAGTAGCGATAACCACCTGAAAGCCATCTAGTTAATCCGGCTCTCAGGATGACTCTAAAACCGATCGCCAGCGGCATTGCTGCCGATGATCGTTGCACGCCGCCGGGACCAGTTGTAATTAATAGTTTATAGCCCCGGTTTAAAGAATTATCATTCATAATCGTGCATAAATGCGTGACAGGAATATTCTTCGGTTGGGGTCGGCAGCTGAAAATTCATGCGCCTCACACTGCATATGGCCGATATATCGGAGATACTTCTATGGTGGCACTCACATTATAATCTGTCGGTTCGCTATTCACTATCGAGATATTGCCATTGAAACCACGCGAAACTCGTCTTATCTTATCAGAGATTTCTCGGAATCCTCCAGCCAATTGATTTTTTATTTTACTGTAATTATTATGTTCACACACTGTTAAGGTTTATTGTCACGATTTGAAATTGCTTGAGAGAATATCATAATAAATTATACTTAAAGGAGCGGAAAAAAAATTCAAGATATATTTTCGAAATATAAGTTGGATATATTTTTAATGTAATTCCAGCAAAAAATATCTCAGCTACAATTTCTTAGAAATTCTCTAGAATACATATTTCTCGGGATTGAATGGAGTTCATAGACAAATAAATTTTTATCTGAGTGAAGATATTTAACACTTTGGTATGCGCACGACAATTTTCATCCTGTCAATGCGTACATGGAGTACAAAACGTGCCAACCCAAAACGTGTTCGTTTCAGGCGCCTCCGTTGTATTTTAATGCGCATACCAAAGGTGCCCACGATTATCATTCCCCATGGGGACGGTATCTAGAGAACACGAGAAATAACGTGGAGGAGGAATGAATGAAGAAATGAAAGAAACGAATGAAAGAAGAAAAAAAAAACGCGTGGAATAAAAGGACCAAGACCAATCAATGTACGCCTACTGTGCGTGATCTATCCGATTATCTCCCCTTAAATTTTTTTTATTTCTCAATTTGTTTTCATCATCTCGTCCATTAATACCTCATTTTGTATTCAACCATGGTCTAGACAAAATTCAAACGCGAGACAATTTATTGCTCATGCTTTTTGGCAAAACGAAAATTCGTCATGTTAAATATTTAACTGTATTTTATTTTCAGCGTGGACGTCAATTTATTTTCCTGATGACTCTTTTTAAATCCATTTGACACATACGTCTTGGAAAATAAAGCCAGTCTGAAGGACGCAGGAGTGAGACTGAATTGCATAGCCATAATAGCATTAGTAACATATTAATATATGCAAAACACTCTTGCCATACCCTCCGGGTGATATCCTCGCCCATTTGTATATAAACCGTGAATATCCCCAACACTGGCTTCATCAATCCTGCGAAAATAAAAATAAATAGGGGGAAAAAATAATAAATGATATGAGGAGGGAGAAAAATATGAATGAAGGTATTATAGGTAGGGTAGAAGGAGACATCAAACGTCCTTTGGCGATTATAATCCGCCCAACGGTTGTGTTAGTTTGCGGATTAAAGTCGACAGGACAATTTATACGATTCACGCGTCAAGCATATGGCAAATCGAATTAAACTAGTGGGTCGGCTAATTAATTATTCAGCTGGACTTTACGAGATATCTGGGTAGAGATGGGAGGATTCAATGATTCTGGTGAAGAAGATGATTTGAGTGGAAGCTGAGGATGACAATGGACTTTGCAAGCTTGGAATTTTCTGCCTGCGGAAAATTAATCTGAAAAAATATTAACGTGGAATAACGTTTAATAAAAAATATATTCGATGAATAAAATTTATAACAACTATTCAACATATTCAATTCATTCATTTATGCTTTTCCATTCTATAATGAGAGGAGTAATTAATTCATTGAGATCAGTTAATGAAATTTAATTTCTAAAGTAAATTTAATTTTTTTAATACAGAAAAACGAGAAATGGTAAAATAATAATTGAGTAAAGTATAATAATTTTTTCATGCCAATTCCTTTACCATTTTCTATAAGTGTCGGTCACAGGGAATTTAGGTTCAAACATAAATTCATATTAAGCAATAGAACTGAATGCAAGTTGGCGCCATCTCTTCAATCACTCCGACTATTGTCTCGACCATAAGGAAATTTAATTTGCCATTCGTGGTTGGCTAAAAGTCATTGAAAATGATTGAGATTTAATCTTCGGTTTTACGATTTTTTAATGCATTCGCACCTGCGTATGTGCGCCACAGCTCGACGAGTTCTTTCGGTTTTACGATAATTTTTGCCTCTTCATTTTCACTGACTATTTCACTTTCACAATGGAATCGAGGTAATGCAAAGTGTTTAATTTGTAATGCATGAGTTTTACCGTCGTAAGACCCTGTTGCTGATCAATGTGTCAACGATGTCACGCAATGACAACAGACAATTGCTCAATTACTTGCCTATTGCCTCTATTTTCCGGTGGTATTTGGAGGTTAATTTTCGATTACTCAGTCATGAAGACATCGAGGATTTTATCAATTGCTTATCACCCAAACAAATGGAAATCTTTTTCAAGTGTTCTGACGTTTTTCCATGCATTTACACTAAATTCATCGCTTACGAATTACAGCACCCAAATTATTGAATTTTTTATTCTAATTTTGGTAATTCTGTTGTGACTACATTCCCGCAGACGCGCTGAGTCAACAGTCCGAACTCAGTAGAGTTGTAAACAAAGAACGGTTGAGTGTTAATTTTCTTATTGTGTTTCAGGTTGAATTTCGACACTTTGGATGTGTTTTCTCGCCTGGTGCAATTCTTCTTCGTATCGTGAAATGTGGAGAAGTGTCAGTTAGTGAAGTGATCTATTCAGTGAAGTGATCTATCCAGTGAAGTGATTTATCCAGTGAAGTGAATTCATTCGTGACATGTGAGAGTGAAAATATGTGACAATGGACATCGCCAGGGAACACGGGAGCACCAGCTAAACCCATAGCCTGTCACTTCACGCTATATCGGTGAGTAAAAGTGTCGTATCAGTAGTTTATTTACAATATTACATTGAGAGAAATTTATATTTTCGATACATGTACGGAAAAGTGTTTTGGAAGACTGGTGGTAGAAAATTACACCTCGCTACAGGGAAAACGTATTTTTGCTCAAATTATTCAAGCTGAAAAAATGAAATTCATAAGTAAATGATTGATCACGAGACTCCCGTTTTCGTAGGTTTTCAGGATAATTATTTTCTCTCTTTTTCATTGAGTTAATATCCTGCATGCTCATTTGAATAACAATTGAATAAATCTGAAAAAACAAAAAAATTCAGTGATTCTCAATTTTTACATTTTTCATTTTTCAATATTTATATACGATTTCGAAAAGATTTTGATTTTTCATTCCATTAATTCTGGAGTGAAAATAGAATTTTCCCACATTAATTTTTCACTGGCAAAAAATATTTTCATTATTGAAAAAAAAATGACTTTCATTGGTGCACTGTAACTGGCTCGACTTTTAACTCATCTCGGTACTTCTTTGATGAAATGCGCTTTTAATTTACCGGCAATAATACTAAAAACATTTAACGCGAATCTTCGACGCGTTGGATCATCAAGCAGAATTCCATTAAACGTTCGTTTTACTTGGCAACTCTTAATTTCTTTTATTTTAGTTTATCTGCCATCCTCGTTTACTTTTTTATTTCAATTATTTTTCATTTTCTTTGACGCCTTAGCGTTGCCACTCTCGACACCAGAAGTACCAGAGTAAAGGCCTCTGCGTACTCTCTCATTTCGTCTCGGGGTGACTTTAAATGAAATCTGGTTTACGACCTCCGGGCTATTGGTGGAGAGAAGGGGATAACGATTAACGCATTGCACGCGACCGTCTGATTTTTTTTAAATTAACGGATGTGTCAGGAGTAATTATTTTGGTTTCGTTTCGAGGTGGCAATAAGTTGGATCACGTCGAACTTCTCTATTTTATTGACCCTTTGCCACTACTTTCCCTATAATTATGGAATAAACCGCTTTCATGAAATTTTTGCTTCTCAGTTTTCCCTCAATTACAGCTGCGAGATGCCGCTCATTTTTAAAAACGTCTTTTCGATCTTATGCAGTCACGATCAATCAGCTCAAGTCGCTAATGCAAATGATTAATGCTTTTCCAACGACGTTGATATCTTAAAAAAATCTTACAAATAAAAATTAATCCATCGTTAAAAAATCATTGCCACTCGGAGTTTGTTGACATTGCCTTTCCATTTTTCTGCTCATCATTCCTGAAATACTTCTCAATATTTTTTATTCTAAAAATGATTATATTTTTGCCCTGAAAAATGAAATATTGCCAGTGAAAATGACTAACTGTAAATTTTATGTAAATAACATTTTTGAAAATTGATTGAAATGTGAAAAATTGGAACGCGAATATTGTTGGATTTTTAATGGATTAAAAATTCATATAAATGGATGTATTTCTCCTTTAAATGTGAAACTCCATAGAAAAAAATAGACTTTTTATGGACAATATTTCATACGATTGCAAAATAAGATAAATTTTGCCATAAAATTTTCTCCGTCTGACATCTCACCAACGAACAGTTAGAATCACGAATACATAGAATTGAGATATTTTTCCAACGGATAATAAATCTCTTTCCTCTACGCGTGCTATTTTGCGACCCATTGACAGTTTGAAAATCTCAATTGTTCTAACCATTGAAAGTTCTCTGAATTGTTACAATTGAAAAATGCAAAGAATAGTCTGAATACTTTTGCTAATCTCTTCCATCAATCGATAATATCGTAACCCGATAAAACGATCCACCTATTTTCCTTTGTCGGATGATATTTGACGTGCCATCAAATTCCATCCACCCCTGACATTTTACTCCACGATTATTCACGGTGAGAAATGGCACTCCATGAAAATATCCCGGTACATCAGTCCCCTGTGAAAGTCTAATCTACAGTATTAATCCCCTCATTCGATTCCGTTTCACTTATTTCACTCCATTCATCCACTTTTTTTCATCCAATCAGCAAAAAAAAACCAATTCGTAGATGCGTCAATGATGCCCTCAAGAATTCCTCATCCTTTTGCCCGTTTACATATTTTTTTTTCTCTCGATGCTTTCATTCGCAAGAGAGTTGAGTATTTTTTTTCTGAACCCATTGATGGTTTAAATGAATGACCCGTCAATCCAAAAAGTTGCTCTTCAGGTTCAAACTCAGTCTTGACAGTTGGCGTGGGCTGACAGCTCTCTCCCCAGAACTGAATGCAAAATTATTTACAATTATTTTATCAACTCGTTCAATCTACCTTAATGGCTGGATAATTATTCAATTTTCTTTTATTCGAGTGGAGGGATTTTTTAATGGAAGGAAGTGAATTTTTTTCACGAAGACATTACGAATACTTTGAATTTTCCGGGAATTCATTGGATATCCTTAATATCCGATAAATTTAAATAATGATACACACGCATGATCAACCATTAACGTTTCTCTCAACTATCTTGGTATTAATAAATACATAAGTATGTGAGATTCTTCGGGAAAATGTATTAATTTTAGATAAGAAGCAAGTAGTGTATCTTCTTTCAGCACTGGTATTTACGACCTTTTGAAAAAGGAGAACGGCACAAGTGCCGTACTCAGTACAAATGTGTGCAGAGAAGAATGATAGAATACATTAAATATTTTTGGGTCAAGCCAGTGATCAACTTTTCCAAAATCTTATCATTTTTTTTCCACTTCATCAATTACGCGGTTAGAAATTTCTTGGATTTTTTTAAAATTTACACAATGTCATCTGAATCTTCAATTATATGAGATCAATTATAAAAATTCACGAAGTTATAATCGTCCAATTATTTTCCTCGATTTCTTCCACGAAACAAAAAACATTGCATTATTTTCCATCAATCAAATCAAAGCTTTGAGAGAAATTCGCTAAAAGATGTTACCACTAACATTAACACCATTTTACCAACAGTATTTACTACAAGAAAATTTACTTAGCATTACCATAATCTTGTGGAAGTATTTACATAGGTTTACTGGGGAGAAGTAAATATGTTTGGGAGAATAAATCTGTTCTATCGGTGTTGAAAATTTGAGAAAGACAAAAGCCACGATGTCTCTAGAGCTTGACCGGAGAGAGATATCTCTCTGTACTTCACATTGCTTTGGTTTATAACCGCATTACTGGGGGCTGGTTTAAAGTAAGGATTATATGCAATGGTAGTAGTAGGGTGTACCTTGCCCAAGTGAACGGAGTTAGCTTGTCAGTTCTTCCGAGACCATAGACTCGAGCCATCCTTGGAGAATATCTCCAGTCGTTCTATCCCTGATCAATACCAAAAATCCGTCGACTCCCTAAAATTCATGAAAAAATGAATAACTGACAGTTGAATCGTTTAAAAAAATTGTTAAATAACATTTGTTGATCTGAAAAATAAAAATTCATTTAGTGATGGAATTAATGAACGGACAATTGTTTAATCTGTGCAGATGGTGGGTAACGTGAAAGTGCAAGTGCAACGTCTGCCTGATCGACTCCTCCGGTGAGTACTCCAGCATTATATAAATACCTTATTTCATTTTTTTTTTTTTTTTGAAGTTTCAATTGACATTTCGATGGCAATGCGAGATGCCTCTTCTGGCATGACGAGGCCATTTGCGCTTTTACTTTCTTCCAAAGCGTTCGTAACACGTTGTGAATCGGTTTATGGTGGGAATATTATTCCCTTGGTGGATTAATCGTTATCGTGCTGATGTACCTGGAATAATAAATGGATAGGAAGTGAATGAAAATGTGTTTGGGGGTATAGGGATTGTCGTTTGTCATTCAATTATTCATCGGATTATGAATTGTTGGGGGGTAATGTATGTTGCGCAAAATGGTGGAGAATGGAGACACATTTACTTTCGTTCCCAAAGACATTCCTGGCGAGACCTGGGGATTATTCCTTTGACCGAGGAAGTGTCGCTCAGGTCTTGGGTCAGGTGCGAGCTATTAATTAGTGAGTGGATAGCGGTCCTCGCAATCTTATCCTTCAATTTTACAACTAAAAGACTTTTCTCTAAGTCTTGTTGGAATTTTACTAATTATTATTTTCTTCTCGATTGTTGCTTCATGCACTTCAAATATGATGAATTTCCTTTTTATTTCTTCAATTTGAATATCTATCATATATCCAGATACTCTGATATTCCATTGTGATTGGCCAATGATTCGCGTGAAATTAGCTGTGAAAAAATGGCGGGAATGTTTGAAATTTGAACGGTGCAAATCGTTTATGGCTTCATAATTTTGAGTTTTACTCAGTT